TAACGTTCACCGACTATTGTTGGGACCCAAGATCATATAGTGAACAATTCATCTGACAATCAAACGAAAGGTCCACTATATCCAGAAAGGAATATCTCATTCGAAATAGACCTGAGAAATAAAGATATCCAACATGATTGCAGACAAACTAATCTTTTTTAAGAAAACCTACAGACTACAAAAGAGATTCGCTACTAAAAATCGCAATTGCATGCAACCATCTTACAGTGATGCAACGCAATACAACCTTTCAATGTTAACTAGACATTTGTTCAACTCTCACCTTACTGGAAACAGAAATATGATGCCATGTAGATGACATAATACTATTTACATCTAGGAAAGAAACAACTCTCACCTTACTGGAAACAGAAATATGATGCCATGTAGATGACATAATACTATTTACATCTAGGAAAGAAACAAAAGATTGGGTACCTGCTCTCAACAAAATTGTTTGTTGGCATCTCCTCAAAACTGCACCCAAAAAGAATGCATTCAGGACTGCCACCAATATACACAAACTTAAACTTAATCACCTAAGAACAATTCATATAAGCTTACCCCATCTGAAGAAAGATATTCTGGATTGCTTCTCGCACCTGAAACAAATAGTTCGAAGCATCATCGAACAAAAATGTCCAAGTCATTAATAAAGAAAAGATAGCAAAAAAAGTCTCATTCACTGATTATAGTGAATAGCGGTTAATGTGTAGACGAAAACCACTAGAGTATTAGTTGCTGGAAATTGGAGAATCTGATTTGTTGACGAAAAAATTAGGACGATAAGCATATCTTGACAACGTAGTTGCAATATTGGAGAATGAATTTACACCCTCTAAAACATCATAAACCTACATTCTCACCCTTCCCATGAGCCTTCTGGAATAACTACAGTCACAATTCCAAGATGGTTGCATTGTAACGCTAACCAAGAGCTGATGATAATCCCTCTAGTTATTTAGCAGATTCTTCATCATTTCCTCTCACCATTAACAAATTTCCGCTATAAACATTTTGAAGAAAAGTAAGTACTCTTGCCAGATCTTGTGTGCATCACAAACCATAATCACATATAGGAGATACTGAAAGGATAAGTCGTGTCATCCTCACTATAGGGTAAATGGAAGTTGAGTGATATGTGGTTCTCTGGGCTGCTATAATAGTTTTCCCTCAAAACTTCAATATTTTATTATATTTTATTACCAAAAATATAGAAAATCCAAGGGTGTAAGGAATGCATACAGTAACTGCATGCCCACGGAATACATAGAATACTAGTGTACTACATGCCCACATTGCATACTGATATTGACAACATATTAATACACACATAATCCCATGAAAATATGAGGAAAACAAAGGAGGGACATCGCACGCATAACTAATTAGGTTCGGTCAGATAAAACATGAACATCTCTCATATGATCCCTAATCTAATCCAAGTTTCAAATGGGTCTGAGACTAACGATTTTGGTGCTAATCCAGACAATTTCAGTTAGAACCGAAGGACTACACTCGGAGTAAGCCAACTGACTTGAAGCATGTCTGTTCATCAACTCGTCGTGTATCATTAACAAGCAGTGTGCCCTCTTGAGGCTCGACTCATCATGCAACCTATGGTCCCATTTTTATGTCTGTACACACTGTATTGACCTTGAATGTTAATTCTACTGATATCTCAAAATCTTTCCTTGCACAATCTCTGCATTTGTAATTATATCATTTTAATCCCATGTCCTTTGTAAATCAATAATTGTCTATTCAGTTCCAAGATGTAGTTAACATGATAAGGACTATTTTCGAAATTTTGAAACTAGATTAACGGGCCAGAAAAATATAAGCATTTTTTATTGATCAGCCTCCTTAGCATACTAACAGTAAGTAACAGTTCTTTTCCAATAATATGTTTGTATTAGGAAAAGTCAGCACTACACATGCTGAAGCAATAAAAATATTTTTACTGAGTAGCAGCTAATGTTGGTACCGATAAGCACGATATCATTAAAAAAATAAAGGGGAGAGAGAGTTTATGCCTCAAGCAGAGGATGCAGGTAGCCTATTTCAATTGGTTGTTCTTGAACATCTAGGTTGTAGTCTTTGAACTCTACATCCTTCCAGTCACCCCTGGAAAGAAATAGGAAAAAAAAAGCCAAGGCTGAACAGTAAGCACGTAACGTCTTAAAAGTTCATGCGCAATGGGAATATATAAGGCAGTGAAAAGACTCATGCTTTGTGTGAATTTTGAAGTTACTGATATAGAATTATCAAAAATCATACCAGCCTATGTGATACACTAAACTTACACTGTTATACATAATAACAAAGTACTGAATATCCATATTTGTGCCAAGGGTTACAGTACGATTATGGATGAACCATCATTATTGTGGAGGTCTTACTCGCATTGGTTATCAGTGTCAACAAATACATGACAGAGGAAAACTATTCCCATACATATTAACGTTTAACAGCTAAGATGGGATAGCCGTAGTACCTCAGTAGATGTTCCCGAGTTAGATCAGTTGCAACCTTCTTTCTCTCTGGTGCATATTTAGGGCCTTTTTTCAGAGAGTAACCCTTCCATGTCCTGTGAAAAGTGAAAAGGTAGAAAAGGTATATCATATAAACCTGAATGTAGTATAAATGTCACTCACAAAATTAAGGATAAGTAAGATATCCATACAACATACACAGCAGATGACACATAATTAACCAAAAGCATAGAGACAGAGAATTGTGGCATTAAACAAATAAAATCTCAACCAGAAGGGGAAAGGAACTTACTGAAGGGTAATGAGCTTCCTCTTTTTCAGTGTAGCAATGTCCTTGTCATCGACCATCTGTGATAATGCAAAAGTTAGTGACACAAAGAAAATGTAAATGAATAAAACGTACAACTCAAAAAAATTTGTCAGGTGTATATAACTATGTAGCAGAGATGCCTGTCATGAAGACATGTCTTGTCAACAAGGTATCAAAACAACCCATCAAATAAAGGCACCAATCTAATTTCATCTCTCGATATACTAAACAAAAAAGTCCATCAAATAGTAAGATGCACCTTTCCATCCTCAATATTTTTTAGCAAATCTTTGACGCTATCTTCGACATGATCCACCTAAGAAGGACAAAAAGCATCATTGCAAAAGATCATATTATGTATAAAACAAAAGAGATTGCTATGTACATGTATCTGAATTAAAGCATCACATCATCCAGCGCTATCTGCCAACTTTCTCATAAAACTGGTACATTTGAAACACCAACAGAACCATTGGAAGAAGAATGCAACAAAGAATATATACAGCAGAACAGTATAATATATCTTATAACAGAGGAGCTGACAAACAACCTGACTGTTAGATCATGAGCAACTATTGGACTAATTCAAGGACGCCTATTTATATGTTTGTGTTGCAAGCATGTGGCTAGTACTTGAAAGGAACATATTCAAGTGTCTATCTCTTTAATTGCATGCATTTAATCATTCAAACGTTTAGACAATGTCATCTCTGCTGAAAAAGGTGCCTGGTGCATATTGCTGCCACCATTGTGGCCTTTGGGGAGGGTCAGATGCACGCAGCCTTACCCCAGATGTAGCACCTCCAGGTCAAGCGGCAATAACCTTACTATTGCGCCAAAGTTCACCCCCCATCAAGAGACCATTATTATCAAACATGCTTTATGCTACGTCGTCTCATTAGGTAACAATGTAGCGAACACAAAAAAGATAGAAGTTACCTTAGCAGCGTAGAATACCTAAGTAAAGAATGTATGAAGAATGTTCTTAAGTCATAAGATTAGAAGTTGAGAAAATTAATACTTATATAGTTAAAATCTATGTTGCATAGATACGGGTGCGGTTGCAGGTGCAGGCGCGGGTGTCGGTGCAGGCACTGGCACTGACATGGCAAATTTGTATAAGATAGGGTATGGAGACACGACTATATAAATATTTATATACACATAAATTATATATTGCAATTAATAATTTATATGAGAACAAGGACGAGAATTAAAACTCTTAAACATTTTTATGTTTCTTTTATTATGTGGATTATGAATAGGAAAATCACTAGTTTTTGAACTAGACATCCAAGCGACCCTTCAAAATCATAAATCGGAACCTGACCTATATCCAATGAGCTTCAAGAAAAGGGTGTGAACCGTAGGATATACGTCCAAAAAAATGTATGACAAGTATTTTAAATTAAAATATGAAGTGTATAATTGAGTACATGCCCATAAATGTATGCACATATACAAGGAGTGTCCAAGGACTTTAGGTACGGGTATGGGTGCATTTTGGGTACAGCTTCAGATTAGAAATGCATAGGTAATGTAGGTTAAATTAGTATTAGATGTTGCTAATAATTAAAGATGACCCAGCCAGCAATTTTATGGTCAGTAATATTGAACCTTGGAAGATAGAAAGAGGCAAAACAAGCTTAAAAATATCTCTATCTTTTGTCATCTAACTTTTCATTGGGTTGTGTTGCCAAATGCCCTAATGGCACCTGTACCAGAGGTACAGACGTGCTCTTTTCCTCCCTCTTGTGTTAATAAACAACAAAGTTAGTTTGTTTATATAACACATTTAACTTGTTATAGTACGTATACCTAAAATATCCTTGTATGCATTTTCAACGTAAAAGCCTTGGACACCATGAAATGATAATCAGGTTTTTGGGAAATGAAATATAATCAAATTTGAAAATTTTAAACCTGACTTAGCCTAAATAAGAAACCAATAGCTCTGGTATGGATTAAAAACCTTGACAACACTACAGCAAATATGGTAAGAATTAGATAGGCATGAAGCTAGGCATGAAGCACATAATGTTGGTCTTTTGCTTGGAATGTTTTATATTTTTCATGAATTTTTATATATATGTGATAGATAATAGATAGTATGCGTGTATTAAAAATTTCAAAAACACATATTTTTGCATAATCCAGTTAATCGCCGTATTATCAAATTAATTGCTACCTGATATGGGACCATATGCATAATGAACCATGACGGTATTTCAGCAAGTGCGAGTTATGTATGTTATGCACCCGCAAAATTTTATTATGCGGGCACATACTCTTTAACCGCTCGATTATGTGGTTTGACCACATAATCAGGCTAGTGTCAGCTAGGGTAGCCGTACTTGGGCGAGTAATCAGCTGAGTAGAGCGTGTTTTCGAACACTGCATAACCCTTTTACCAAACAATTTTTTAACAGTTTATGTATGACATCCGCCGCATTATCAAATTAATTGCTACCTGATACGGGACCATACGCATAATGAACCATGACGGTATTTCAGCGAGTGCGAGTCGTGTATGTTATGCACCCGCATAATTTCATTATGCAAGCACATATTCTTTAACTGCTCGATTATGTGGTTTGCCGCATAATCGAGCTAGTGTCAGCTACCCAACATGTTGTGGTGTCGGGTAGCTGTACTTGGGCGAGTAATCAGCCGAGTAGAGTGTGTTTTCGAACACTGCATAACCCTTTTACCAAACAAATTTTTAACAGTTTATGTATGATATTCATTTGTATCAAACTATCAATTACCATAATCATAATCATCAATGAGCTTTTTGTCTGGTATTTCATGAAAGCTAATCTTTGTTGCTAATGAAGACTGCAAAGCTAATCCATCTGAACCTTACATTTTTATGACTATAAACTGAAAATCCCCATTTAATTTATTTGAGAATGCACAGAAGACCCGGAAAATCGAGGCCAGAAGGTGAGCAATTAACGCTTAACATGTGCCCCGAGGCCACTCACTAGCGTACACAGAGTTCTATTTTTCTACACTGTACAGTTGGCATTTCTAAATAGCTAAATAGGGTAATGATTACCAAATATTATGTTAATCCTCCTAGCTGAAAATCAAATTAAATGGTTAAGGAATTCTAGTTTGACATATTGGTGCGACAATGTGGAACATTTAAAATAAAAAACAAATAAAAACTCTACCTTTCTCGAGACCAATTGTTTCCCGATCTCCACCCATTTGTTTTTAATAGCTTGTGATGAACCGATCTTAAAAATCTGACTGCCTACTTTTTTCTGAAATAAAAATCAAACAAAAAAAGATAAATGAGCACAATCACCAAACAAAAATACTCAGAAATCATTATATAAAAAACAACCCGTCACCTCGAGTTCGGCTCTTGATATCCCCTCAGCAGGCACTGCCCAAAACACCTGAGCCTCCGGCGATCCATTCAAAGCGTACGACTTCGCTTCATCAGTCAACAACCATCGCTCCTTCTTTATATCCTGCTTCCATAAAATAGAAAGAGGAAATGTTAGCTAGGGTTTCGATTACACAATATAAAAGAATGAGATCGATTAGATCGATAACTGACCTGAGATTCGATCAGTTGGAATCCGCAGAGGCTCTTGATGACGCTCTCGAGCTCGCTGTGGCCGATTCCGACGCTGGAAGCGAACTGATGAGAGTCTGATATCACTTCGTTGGACTGTAGAAAACCTAGGATCGATCTCTCGGCCCTCGTTTTGTCGTCTGAATCTGCCGCCGCCATTTTTTCTACAAGCTAAGCAGTCGTCGGAGGGTATGGTGTTTGAGGAGAGAAGGGCGTAAAAATTGAGCAAATTTCAGTCGGACCCAAACAACCGGATCGAATTGCAATTCAGTTTGGTTGGTTTCCTAAAAACGAAGAAAAAGAAATCGGTACAAGGAAACCAATAAAATAATATTTTTATCTATTTCCATCCTTAAAACCCACTCACAACATCTAATAAAATAATATTTTTATCCTCCAACTCATCTCATTTCATCTCATTTCTTATCTTTAAAAATAAACCAAACACAAGAAATGTGTCACATCATCCAACTCATCACATCTCATCTTATTATCTTATTTTTAAAAATCACACACATCATCCAATAATATTGTGACAACTCATCTCATCTCATTAAACCTTCATTTCCATCCATTTCCTAAAAAAACAAGAAATTGATTTCCTTAAGTATGTGTCACATCATCCAATAATATACCTCCAACTCATCTCATCTCATCTATTTTCTTATTTTTAAAAATGAACCAAACACAAACAACCGCAAAACATCATCCAATAATATACCTCCAATTCATTTCCTTATTTTTTTTAACCAACCAAACAACCTCAAAACAGGTTTTTTTTTAAAAATCACTCACATCATCCAATAATAAGGTGACAACTCATCTCATCTCATCTCCTATTCTATAGTTTTCTTCTTTTTTAAGCCAACCAAACAACCTCAAAACAATTATTATAGGAAATATGTTTCCTATTCTTTGATTTCCCAATTTTTTTTGCGAAACGAACAGCCCCCAGAGGATATTAGGCGATGTTTGTGTTTTGGGTATTATTTAAAAATAAGTCTATTGTTTCACCTAATTTCACTTGTATATCCTCTCTTTTTTTGTATTTGGCAGCAAGAAAATACGCTAAAGTTTTTTAAATTTATACTTATATACAGTCACTTCCTTTTGGTAGCATTTACGTACCCTAAAGTCTTTAAATCTGGCACTTAATTACTCTAAAAATTTTAAATTTGTCACTTAAACATCCTAAAATTTTTAAAACTTGCACATAGATTCCCTCAAGTTTGCAAAACTGAGAGTATTTATATGCCTGTTTTAAAAAAATTTGGGTATTTAAGTGCTAGTTGTAAAAACTTTAGGAAATTTAAGAGTCACCAAAAAATTGAGGGTACATGTTGATGTCAGTTATTTAACACGGGTTTAGTTCCAGATTAATGTGAGGTTGGAGTCCTCAAACTTCTTCAGATGGCTGGTCCGGAA